GACGGGACGGGCAGGTCTGACATTCCTCTTTTCCTCCATTTAAAGAAAGTGTCGGGGGAGGGGGAATCATTGCTAGGGGTTGTATGTGTTTACCTGCCTGCTTATACCGGTTTTAACAGTGGCATCAACTTTACAAGGAGAACCTGAGAGCCTTTTAGTACAGCCACAACAGAGGCCTTCTGCTGTCAGCTCCCTGAGTTTCAAATAGCACCAGGAATTAATTAAGATGAAAAAAACCTGTGTTTTCACCTCATTTTCCTATTTCTTTAAAATTTGCGAGTTGTCTTCCTCAATTGCCCCTTCCCAACTTCCACAATTTAAATGAGTGAAAAGAATCCAGTCATTCCTAAATATGTTTATTTCAAGTTATAGCTGCCGCAGCGTATTGCATTTATCGTTTGAGAGCTCAGTTTGGTCATTCTCTGACTACATTTCCTTGCTAAGGTGTACACCTTTGGTACTCGTTGAGACCATGGGAGCAGCGTTGGCAAGAGCAGCTCAGTGGACTGCTGCTGGTTCTGGAACTGGCACACTTGAAATCACCCCTTTGAATGAATCTCTTTTAAATCAAATTATTAAGTTTGTGGAGGACTTCAGCACTAGACATCCTCAGGAAGCAGCATTTGTCTTCAGAGAGCCCCTTGAGTGGAAAACAGAATTGGGCTGTTCAGTATTTGGAGAGGGTTATGAGATCAGGTAAGTCTGAATTGCAGCGTTTTGAAATGTTGAAGGTGAACTACAAAGCAAAACTGTGCTCATTTAGCATAAAGAAAGCCTTAGTGTATTTGGGAGGCTGAAATGAGTGGTTTTTTAACTAATATGTATTGAAAATTTGAGTTAACATTTGTAGAAGTTTTTGAGAGTTTGAGACTACTCTGTCTTGGTGTGATACAGACCTATTTAATTAGTGATTTATACAACTTGCACTGTCTATTCCTAAAACTTTTTACAACATGCGTCTAACAGTGATTAACCCTGTGATTTCTGTTAGTGTTAGGAGTGGCTCCAGTGTGGTGGGTTGACCCTGACTGGGCACCAGGTGCCCACCAAAGCTGCTCTATGACTCCCTTCCTCAGCTGGACAGGGGAGAAGAATATGATGAAAGGCTCATGGGTTGAGATAAGGACAGGGAGAGATCACTCACCGCTTACTGTCATGGGCAAACGAGACCCGACTCACAGAAATTAATTTAATTTATTGCCAATCAAAAGTCAGAGTAGGATAATGAGAAACAAAACCAAATTTTAAAACACCTTCCCCCCATCCCTCTCTTCTTCCCGAGCTCAACTTCACTCCCGATTTTCTCTACCTCATCACCTCTGAGCAGCACAGGGGGATGGGGAATGAGGATTGCAGTTAGTTCATGATGCGTTGTCTCTGATGGGCCCTCCTCCTCACACTCTTCCCCTGCTCCAGCTTGGGGTCCCTCCCATGGGAGGTAGTCCTCCATGAACTTGTCCAACATGAGCCCTTGCCACGGGTTGCAGTTCTTCATGAACTGCTCTAGCGTGGGTCCCTTCCCCGGGGTGCAGCCCTTCAGGCGGCTCCAGTGTGGTGGGTTGACCCTGACTGGGCACCAGGTGCCCACCAAAGCTGCTCTATGACTCCCTTCCTCAGCTGGACAGGGGAGAAGAATATGATGAAAGGCTCATGGGTTGAGATAAGGACAGGGAGAGATCACTCACCGCTTACTGTCATGGGCAAACGAGACCCGACTCACAGAAATTAATTTAATTTATTGCCAATCAAAAGTCAGAGTAGGATAATGAGAAACAAAACCAAATTTTAAAACACCTTCCCCCCATCCCTCTCTTCTTCCCGAGCTCAACTTCACTCCCGATTTTCTCTACCTCATCACCTCTGAGCAGCACAGGGGGATGGGGAATGAGGATTGCAGTTAGTTCATGATGCGTTGTCTCTGATGGGCCCTCCTCCTCACACTCTTCCCCTGCTCCAGCTTGGGGTCCCTCCCATGGGAGGTAGTCCTCCATGAACTTGTCCAACATGAGCCCTTGCCACGGGTTGCAGTTCTTCATGAACTGCTCTAGCGTGGGTCCCTTCCCCGGGGTGCAGCCCTTCAGGCACAGACTGCTCCAGCCTGCGTCCCCTGCGAGGTCACAAGACCGGCCAGCAAACCTGCTCCAGCCTGGGCTCCTCTCTCTCCACGGGTCCACGGGTCCTGCCAGGACTCTGCTCCAGTGTGGGCTCTCCATGGGGTCACAACCTCCTTCGAGCATGCACCTGCTGATTTACAGTGAATAAATTGGTTTACCTCAGAAGTTTTCTGAAATACAGTTTAAAGAAATTGCATATGCTTTAGCATGTGAAGTTTGAATAACATTCAAGATTCTTCTCTGAAATTTTCTGTAAAGTTCTTATTTTAAAAAGAGACAATTTAATTTTTCTAGTGCAGCAACTGTTCAGTCTGAAGCCAAAGATAAAGATGGCCAACCATTGCTTCTCCTCACAGCATCAACTCTCAGAGTTCGCAGTTTTGACCAGCTGTCCCGTTTGCTACAAATTGCTATGGAAAAAAAGTTACAGGAAGTACAGACATGCCTCGAAGGTTTCCTTTCTTCTTTTTTTTTTCATCTTTCCTCTCTCTGAAAAAGTTTGTCTTCTCCTTCAAGTCGTGTTTATGAAACGTGAAGAAAGAAAGGCATGCCTTCATTTTAAGTATATGAGAAGGTGTTCATTCATGAAGGTGCCTGAAGGTGCCTAAATGTGCTGATCCAGAACTTAATGAAATTTCTATTTCTTCTTTTATTTTCACAGAAAACAATAACAGAGAAATCTGGAATAAAGTTAAAATAAAACTGTGGAATCTCATATACAAATTCATTTATACTGAGTAATACCCCAGCTATTGCAACAGGCAGTAGGTTTAAATTTCTGAAAAAGAAAGTCTTATTGGAGGCTAACAGCAGTTTTTCCTATGTTTGTAGTTTAATCCTCTTCTAAAATGTTACATCCTTAAAAATTATCCAAAGAAAAACTTACATGCTTAAGACATTCTTACCTGCACAAGGTTCATAGTGAGCACTTCCAGGTTCTTCTCACAATGGCTTTTAAAATGTAAGTACTTCTACTGTGTCATATTCAAGTCCTAGATTTTCAAACTGACAAGAAGACCCTTGATACGCCAAACTGGATATCCTCCTCTCATTGGAGGTAGAAGAGATCAGTAATATTCTTTGGTAATATGAGTAGAAATTCCATCTGCAATACTGAAATATAAATGCTCATACTGGATCAAACTTCAGATCCATCTAATCCAGGGTTCTGTCACTGATCATGATCAACCATGGATAATATGGGAGAGTAATACGGACAGGGTATCACACAGAGGCATTCACAGATGCATGGGACTTCATTTGAAGGAACAGAGCAAAATGTTTTTGTAAAACCCATTGACATGCAGTTATGTCACTGTTTACCAAAAAGAACAGCTGGCATAGCTGAGGAAGTAATAGGGCCATTGGAAATGCTGCTGGAAAACTTGAAAGATGTTATTTAACACTAAATTGTATTTGTAAAATGATCAATTTTGCTGAGTTAAACCCATTGATTTCCTGTTTTGGTGCTCGGCCAGGCATATTTTCTGGAAAAGGGGCTGTTGATAAAGGAAAATATTTAATATTCACCTCTTGGTTGAATTAATCTTTGTTGTGAAAAGCAATGTTGTTGTTATGAAAAATTTCTTTTTATTCTTAATGTTTTCATATTTTTAAAAGTGCATTTCAAATTATAAGAGCGATATGAAAGAACGTATCATACAGTAATATTTGATTAATAACTATGCACATTATTAAAGTTCTTATTGTAAATTAATAGCATGAAAATTATTCAGCAATTGAAATAAAAAGTGTTTGTCTTACCTAATCATATTTAACATAGTATCACATTGTATGATTCTGTTTCATGTTTACAGCTAACAGAGATCCTATAGTGAAAATTCTTGGCCCTGAATATGGGACTGTTGAAGGAGAAGATATGTCCATGTTGCATTTACTTGACAAAGTGGAAAAAGATGATGACCCTGAAACAGAGATGAAAATGCAAATCTCTCTTCGTCTTCATCAGCTGGATTTTCAGCTGCTTAATAGTTCTTTGAAACACATTTCACAGTAAGTGCATTTCAAATGGAAGCTAAGCGTGTCAGCCAGTGTGTCTTTTTGTTTTATTGTCGAATCAGATTGATTTCAACCCACAACATCTGCTTTTGATGTGACATAAAGAAATTTATTGAAATAACTTTCACTGTTCACTAAGTTATTGAAAAAAACATTTTTTTTCCTGAAGATTTTGCTGTAGGTGTGGGTATGCAAATGTGTGCCCGTGCATGTGGTGTTTTTATTGCATATGTTTTGCATTGTTTGCATTTTGGTAGCAAATTGAAGTCATTTGTATAAACAACAAAGTTACAATTAAATATTTTCAAGCAAATGTTTGTTTCTTCATGCACGCATGTTAAGTATTACATTGAGTCTGTTTCATAGTTACAAGGACTTCATATTAGCTATGGAACTAAAATTTCACTAAACTAACAGATAAAATTAAGAAAAACGATGGAAGATGACCCATTTCCAGATTTTTGTTGCTACTATTAAAACTCAATGTAAAAGAAAAAAGTCATTTAATATTTGCTTTTCATTTCTCTGAGTACATCCTTTTGATGAATACATTTTAGACCATTTTCTGTTAATTGCAGAGACATAAGACTAAATCCAGCTGCTATAAATAGTGAAGTGAATCTTCTTAAGAATTTCTCTGGGAAAGGAGAAGATACAGTACTGGAATCACTGGAATATACATCAGGTCCAGATCTGATCATGTCTCACGTTTATATATACCCTTATTAAAGTATTTGACTTCTGTGTGAAATTTGCTAAATTGATTTCAGTAATAAATTTAAAGTGTTTATTTCTATTTAAAAATTATAAAGTAAAATAAAAAGTATTTTCAGATATGAAATGTTGTTCTTCAGTGTTTACTTATAGAAATAATCTCCAATTATATGAATAAATTCAGTGGAAGTGGAGGAATTGAACTGATCCTGAAAGTGCTAAGCACAGTTGCAATCCTTGGCTGGATCAGGACATGGGTCATAGAGCTTTACATGATTAATTCTAAACAGTATGAATTCCTAAGAGTAAGGTGTTGTTTTGGGAATTTGATTTGTATACATGTTATATTAATCATCAATCATAACTATTAAAAAATACTTTTAAACTGGAGAAAAACACTAATGCTAATTGATTACAGATTACATGTTCTCTAATGGATGCCGAGCTCCTCCCTGGAGACAAGTGCATGGAGAAATTTGTTACTTAGTCATCAAACCACATGACACTGATCCTTTGTATATCACTTGCAGCACAGCAGGAGTGTTTTTAAATGGAGTAAGTATTAATGAAGGATACCATGCAGTAATGAATATTTTTATGTGCTAAAGTCAGAAATCAGTCAGGTTTAAGGTAGTGGTATTGAGGCTGTAAGACCTGCAGAGCTAGTTTATTCGTACAGAAGGAGAAGACACAGTAATAAATGTATGCTAGTTTTCCCATATGTTTTGAGTGCTTTTTCTTTAAGTTTTATACTAGGAGTGTATTCTGTACTCTTTGCTAGCAGTGTTTGTTTAGTCTTTAAACGTGCCCTAACAGTCCTTCACGCTATTCCTATGTAAAGGTACTGTGGAACTAGATGCCTCTCTAGTGCCTCATTGGTCTTGATATGAGGTGTAATATTTTGTGTGGCTAATATAGCTTGCTTTTGGTTATAAATGATAAGCAGTTCTTTCTCCTTTCAGTGGCAGCTTTTTAGAAATTATTTATCTCTTCTACTTTTCATTTTGGTCACCTCTTTCCTTACAGATAGGTTTTATTTAGGCATAATAGTCCCTTATGTGTGTTAAGCAGTGACTAGAGTTCTTACATTCATTTTGAAGAGAGACTGATGTCCATCAGGCCTAACTCCACAAATTGATTTCCTAAGAGTTAAAAAATCCGGGAAATTTTGAGTTAGCACGTTTTTAATGGATGAAGCTTGTAAAGCTTAGGCTAGTCAGGTCACGTTATTTTCTGATCCTTTTAGAGATCTGCCATACTGCACTGGAAGGTCATATTTACTTGGTTGTTTGCCATAAGACATAAATCCTTCTCAGTGGAACTACACACAGTACAATTAACTGATAGTAATTACTTGCACAATTCTAATGTACCATCATGATTATCTGTTGGAATCCATGGAGATGATCCATACATCTTTACAAAGCATTACTGAAGTTTGATGGAGTCTGCTGAGCATGAGACTTCTGTACCTAATTCATTACAGTATGACCTCTCTGCTCTTTAGCATGATTTTATGATGCGGATTAAATTACCGGTGTAAAGCAATACTATTAATAATTTTAAATTTATTCTTTTTTTAAGGGTCAGCTAAAGGGTAAAAATGACATTGACTATGAAAGAAAAAGTGATGTATATAAAGATATTGCCACATTTTTAAGGGAGAGATCGCCTAGATTTGTAGAAAATATGGCTAAACAGGTATGTATTTCCTGATACTGGGTGTATATTCTATTTTGGACAAATATACATTGTACATTGGTAAGAATTAGATTATAAACCTGGATGAACATTTATGTTCTTTATCAAAGATAAATCTGTGATTAAATGAAGGATACACTATTTGTGTATTGTTCTATCATACCTTATTATGAGGTTCAACCTAACATGTGAGGTCAGCTTCTAATTTTGCATACAAAGTTTTGCTCATCTTCTGATGTTACTCTTTATGGAGCACTGGAAATATTAAAGCAAGAAAATATGATATCCTTATGGAAAAGGTCAACTTTTTATGACAATATTTTTCTGTGATCAGAACCACTTAAATTTTTATCCTCATTCTTTATAACGCAAATATAAATAATAGCCCAACTTTTTTATGAGAACTGCCTGATTTAAATATAGAGCTGAGTTAAGCATCCAGCTTACACATTATGTGTTGCTTCAGCCACTGTAAAGTGCAAGTGTTTTGGCTTTTATTCAGAAATCTATATTAGCTAGAATCACAGAGCGCCTGGATGTTTCATCATTCCTGGTAAAAACTCTATTTTCAGATTTCTAGTGTCTTTATAACAGATTAATAACTTGGTGGTAAAATTCCTTACAGGCTAAAACCTGTCAAAGTTTTATTGTGGTTATTTATCTGAAATTTTAATTATTGCAAGAAGGAAGTAATTAACAGGGAAATTTTCTTATCTTTTAGTTCTGATTTTCTGGGATGTAGGGTTGTGGTTTTTTTCAGATACAGATATTTGACAGTTCTGAAAGAACAGAGCATTTCAAGTTGTACACATAAATACAGTAGCTTATATTAACAGTAATGGAATTAAATTTTTAAGTTATTCTGTTTGAAAGTGCAATAAGTTCCAAAATGTATTTTATTTATCCCATAGGCAAGTATATTTTTAATGTTATATCTATACATCGGTTTATATTTCATAAATGTGACAATATATTAATGTTTTTAGAAATAATTACTGGTTTAATGTATTTTCAAGATGATTTGGCTTCATTTGATGGTCATGAAAGGTAGAATATGGTAATATTTTAATAATTTTTTGCAGTTCTAAATGTTAATATAGATTAATGTTAATATCGATCATAGAGATAATACACCTTTCTTTACTGGTTTTCTGCTCTTATAAAGATATTGTAGCTATTCAAGAAATGTGTCCACTCATTAAATAAGACTTGAATAAGAATTTGTCCTATTTTCCTTCAGTTGTCATATAAATCACTTAGTATTCCCTGTGTAAATAAGTTTGTACTGAAGAGTGTAAATTATGCCATTTTAATGATTTAGGAATATCATATCGTATTGCCTTGCTGAAGAGCTGGTTTAGCACATTCTGCATTCTAAAACTAGAATTTAAACAAGTTAATACTGTAGAGCTGCAGAGCATTTGTATTTGAGGGAAAATCTCTACTCTAGAACTCTGGAAGTAGATAAAAGCTGTATTTCCTAGATTGCCTACATTAAATAAATTATGACTGGAAATAGTTTTGATTTATTTTCTGAGGGGAGCTTCAGAAAGCTCATTACGTACACATGTATTGCAAAACCAATTAATTTTTATAATATCTTCTTGGCGTTGTTTAAGCTAACATTTAGAATTGCTGCGTTGGCATACAGTGCTGTAGGAAATACACTTTTTAACAAGTGCTTAGCTGGTCAAGCTACAGCATCAGTTCCCTTGTGATTTGTCTAGTTTTTCATGTGTTAAATTGTCTTGTCTAGAGCATATTTTCAAAATGAGAGAATTAGCATGAGTTAGTTTATGATTAGACAAATGGTTCAGCAAGCCTGGAACCGCTGACTCACGTCAGGGACTAGTCAAAAACAGACCATACTGTGACAATCTCCTTAAAGCTGCCTTGAATCAGATACAGAAAGGAATGTCTTCACCTATCTGGTAGTGACAGCTGCAATAATAATAATAATAATAATAATAATAATAATAATAGATTGTGTGCTGTCTTTCCTGTAAAAATTAAGTATGTTCCAATAGAGAATAAGAGTTGACAAGAGTCCTTTCTGTTCTGGATATTTTTGATCAGCCATGGTACTAGACACAGGTAGCTGAAGGATTAGTAGGTGCCACTCAACTCCGTTCTTGTATGTGACTTGTTCAAGAATGTTTTGTCCTGAGAGACAGAAGATGAGAAAACTGAAATGGAATGTGTTTATATTAATTCTAAACTATATGAAATTAAATTACTTGGAACTGAAGTCTAGCAGTTTATCATAGCCCATTTTCAGTTTAACGTTTGTCATTTTTTTGTGGGAATTTTTTGTAAATCCTTTATGCAAGGAAATATTTTTTATATAAATGATCCACTGAAAGCAGAATGACTGACTTTGCAATCTGAGATCTTAAAATTCATTTGCAATTAGGTTTTATAAAAGTGCTTGTGTCACAAATTATTTAACATATTAAAAATGGAACAACACCCAATATTCAAGTATGTTCAGGAAGTTCCAAATTTAGCTAGTTAATTTATTTCAAAAACTAATTTGCACATGGTAACAGCTTCTTTCCAGATTAATGTTTCATTCTTTTAAAGGAAATCTGATTTTATGCTTATAATCCAATTCTACATTTAATACATACAATTTTTAAGGACAACATCCTGAAATTGTGCTTATAACTTGTTGTTTTAATATGTATTATTCATATAGCAATATGACTGACAAACCATATCTCCTTTTATTAGGAACCAACCTTTTATTTAGAACCAACATACGAGAAGGATTATCAGCACATGGAAGTAGTTGATGCTAAGGTCTCTGGCCAATCCGAGAACCTTTATGATTTTACAGAAAAGAATGTATGTGAGAAAGTGAAGCGTTCTGCAGCAATAAGGAGATCCATTGACAAGAAAAAATTAGAATCATCTATGAAGTGGAGGAATACTGGGCTTTCTTCTTCCCACAGATAAGTAGTTATCTTTATAATTCAATTTTCCTCTAGATCTCTCTAAATTGTGCTAATGATTGGACTGCGTGTTATAGATTTGCATTATTATCTTAAGTTAGGAGCAATAAAACAGAATTTACTACGTGTTAATTTCTAAGAAGAGAGTATGGATTACCGAAGAGATTTTTCAGTTTTCTTCTGTCATGCAACAACTTTGATGATACAACATTTCCACAGCAAGGCAGAAAAATACCTTGCAACCATCTGCAGTACTGGTTCTCCAGGATTGTGATATCATATTTTTGGTGTAAAATGCCCTTTAAAGAAAGACAGACTAGACAATCTAATCTAAAGCATACTTTCTGAGGGAGGCAAAAGGGGTCCAGGAGGGAAAATGAGGATGACTCTTACTTATACTACCAATTTTTAATGATTTCATATTATATGAGCCACTTTTCTAGCTCTGCTTAGCAACAGTCTTCACTAATGAGATTATCTCAAAGTTTGGACTAGCAAAAATAGAGTATACGTATATTGGATATTGTTGGATTTGTCTTCTGAAATCAGAACTCTGTTCTGATTTCATGTTTCCTCATTTTGTGTTAAGGGAGGAAGAAGAATATGTGAAGGAAAGGCTTTGGTTGCCATCCTACAAAAAAAAGTCAGTATCTTCTCAAGTCTGCCAATATGACATGTTGCAAAAAAACATTTTAAGAGATTTTGGATGTGACCTACAGTCATCAGTTAAAAAAATGTGTTTTTCCAGGGACAAGATCTTATCTTTTTTCACGCTCATTGTTAGAGTCTAGATGTAGTGAAATTGGCTATAATCATGAGTAGTATTCTCTTTTATTGCTGTGACTGTGATAGAATGACCAGCGCAGGCTTGACAGGACATTTTGTTTTCACAGCATTGTAAATTAGGGACAAAAAAAGCACCAGAGATTGTGCCTAACTAGGCCTAGGAGTCTTCTTGGAATATGAGGAAAGCAAGCTATATTGTATTCAGAATGATCAAAGCTATGGAACAGCTCAGTGTGTGGAAGAACTAGGCAGACTAGAACTCTTCTGCCTGGAAAAAAGGTGACTGGGGGACAATAAGACAGATACAGAAAATCGTGACTGGAGATGGTAAATAGAGAACAGATAGTCACTATCTGTTCTAATACAAGAATAAAGGGCATCAAATGAAAATGAGCCAGTGAGACCAGTTCAGAACAAAGGGAGAGACTTCTTCATACAGCACATGGCTAAGCTCTCACATTCTTTGTCACAGGATGGTAGAGGCCATTTGTTTATGTGAGTTCAAAAAGCAACAGACACATTCATGGAAGAAAAATCCATCCAAAATTGTTAATGCAAGGATGATCGGGAGTTCCCTGATTCACCATTTCCTGAAGAATATTCTGGAAAAAATAATTTCTGTGTTCTTCCATTGTTCTTCTACTGTTACCTAGATAGCTGCTATTGGTCATGGTTGGAGATGGTATCTTAGGATAAATGCACCTGTAGTCTGTCTGCATATACTCATTCTTTGTTCTTGTATCACATACAGGTCAACATAATATAATTTTTCTAATATTCCACTATATAATTAGTCAGTTAAGACATAGCTTACTTTCTTTTTAATGAAGTTTATTATGTAGGTCCATAGGCTCATATGTACTGACTCACTATTTGTCCAAGCATACCTTTTTGGTTCTATGTATATATATAATAATTTTTTTTTTAATAAAACCAAATATTTTAGTGACAAGGCGGCAAGAAAAGATACTGAAGAAGAAGGGAAAAGTATTACTGTGTCTCTGAAGATCAAAAAGAAAGCCACTGGCATTTCTTCAGAATCTATTAAAATACAACCAGGTTCAAAATGGTATGTGTTACTTATTTTTCTTTCTTCAATTTTTTTTTTTTATTTTCCATATCTACAGTAATTATCACTATACTTAGAATTCGGTAATGTCAATTATATTTTTCTAATTCTGTTATTAGGCAGCATTTTCATACCTGTTTAAAATGTGTTTGTTCATATTAGTTTATAGCTGTTTAAAATGGGTGATGCTGTTTATTTATTTTTAGTAAAACATCAAGCAGGTTTGAAGATGTTAGTGAAACTTCCTCAGAGACTGAGGAAGATGAAGAACAGCCTGTACGTCATCAGGAAGCAAACACCGATTTGCCATCAGAATACTGGGGGATTCAGAAACTTGCGAAATATTTAAAGGTAAATAAGAAGTGTTGATAAATTTTTTTTTAAAAAAAGCTACTCTTTACCTTCTACCTCTGAGGACACCAGACCAGCTCCTCATCCTTTCCACCTTCCATGTATTTTAGAATAGCCCTGCTATCTCATGTGTTCGAATCCTGGAACTGTGGACTTTCCTATTATGCACCCATTTCTCTTGCATTTTTTTATCTGTTATTTTTGGCTTATATAGACCCTCAGATTAAATGTCTGTTCGGTGCTATTTAAAACTTAAGATGGTGTAATTTCTTTATTAATTATTGGGTTTCTGTTTTGCTTTTTGGGTGAAGCCTTCCAAGATATTTCTTTATGTGGATAATAACTTTCAAGAGTTTTTATTAAAACTGAATACTTGCCTAAAGTCTTTCATCAACGATGATTAATGCATGACTGAAGTAATTCTAATGTGGTCTTGTGTCTGGATTGATGCTGTTAGTGGACAAGAAAATGTATGATAAACAGGCATCCTCTAAAACAAAAAAAAAGGTTTTTTACACAGACTTGTTGAAAATTTTTTGGAACGTATAAATATAGATGTTTAGAATTCTGTGTGTGTCTGAAACGCGTAAAAAGACCAACAACCCTCTACTATTCTGGAAGACTCTAGAACTAATTATGTTTTTCCCTCGCAAGAAATTCCTTTACAAGTTTGTACTGGAATTTATGTACTGTAAGTTACTAATAAAAGCAGTGATTTATTTGGTTTTCTGAGTACAGCTACACATCTGACTGATAAAATGATGGTGCTGGCATTTGGTACAGCAGAAATGCTTGTGAGAAATAAGCAAAGCTTTGGCTCTTTCCAGTCCTTTAACCATTGTAGAAGAGTTTAAACAGTTTTCAGTGCACTCAGACTGCTTGTTCTCAGTTTGTATATGTGGGACCTATGCTAGTGGTTGTAGCCAAAGAGACACAGAAAAGCATGGATAATACAAGTCTTTCTACAATTCTTTGTGCCTTATCTTTTCTAGGTTGGACACCTATATTCTTACCATTTGTCTGTGCTCAAATAACTCTTTGCAAGTATAATCTGGTGTAACATTCAGCACGCAACTTCTTCAGCTATCCGCTAATGCTGAACACACAATATATGTATTTTGCATGATACAATTGTTTCTATTTTCATATAATTGCAGTTCAAGGTGGTGTTTTCAAATCTTTCAGTCTACTAATACCTTGCTTCTGTCCGTCTGACGGACTACCTCTTTGTACTTTTCTGAGAGCTCAGAGAAATAACCATGCTATGTTTTAGTAAAGACCCAAGGTCCTCCTGGAGAGGATACTTGGAATTCATTATGGTTGATGAACTCCCAGAAATCTTTTCATTGGCCCATTTATGGACCACCCTCTTTACTGACAAGGCTCTTCTCTCCTGCTTGCATAATTCTCAAACTCCCTTTCCTCTCTAGATCCTTCATATAGTCATGCTTAGATTTTAGTATTGGACTTGATTCAATGCTGAAACATATCTACACTTGAATGAAACTATTCTGAATGAAGAGTGAGAATGGGAAATAGGAAAATATATTTTTTGTGATCCTCTGTTTTAGAAGTGGGTATGTTTTGTTCCATCTGTCAACAAGCAAAATTACTTAATAGCGTAGAACTAAAAAAAGAAAGGGGAGCATTTTTGATCAAATTGTGAATACCTGTTAAGAAGTGTTTATAATACAAAATTTCATAATATGAAAAAAAAAATCAAATGTATACTTGCTTATTCATGCACACCCAAGTCTTCCAATAGTTCTTTAAATTAGATATAAATTCAACAAAGTAGTTGAAGATATACTTAAAATAGTTCTCTGTTGATTCTTAGCTACGTAAAGTAAGAAATCCCTAGTGTCAGATAAAGCTGAAAAGAGATGCCTCAGTGCCATACCACAGACAGTGGTTGAAATGTTTTATTGATGGAGTGCTACTTTAGCTTGCAGATGGAATTCATTCTAATTCAACTATAAATACTGCACTTCTGGCCAGACTTAGGAGATTTTTTGGCATTTTTGTTGTTCATGTAGGCAAGTGTTCATGACACATGCAACGTAAGAGAATATAAATTTGTGACTGTGATATATAAGTATCTACAAGCATATTTATATAGAAGCATAAATTTCAGAGGGCTTGTGTGTCTTCAAAGGTTGTATACATCGTTTGCACATCTTAAAAATTTAATAAAATGCCTTAATAGATGTTTGAGATACCAAGTTAGAAAAGATAATATTTTTATAGGTGCAACCATTTTTTGAATGTCTGCTAAAGTAAATGTGAATCACAATTCAGCAAGACTCTATAAAAGATCAATTTGCAAACACAAAACTTCCATAACACCTGAAAGATACCTAGTTTTTATACTAAGGTTAGATTGTCATTAAAACGTAAAAAGACGGTTGTTTCCTGTGTAAAGCAAACTTGCTAGATCCTGTGGATTGCACCTGTAGGCTCTGTATTTGTATACTTCTTCATGGAGAGAAAATTCCAGTGCAGGGGAAATTCCCTTCTGACTTTTTGCCCTTCTCCATTCCCCCTCCTTTCTTTTGTTGGAATTGCTCCACTGGGAAGCAGCTGCTTCTGTGGTTTGGCTTCTTGACCTACCTTCAGGATTCGCAGGGCTGTGAGACAGAAGGTAGAGCATGTGTGCTCTTGCCATATCTCCCTATCAACTTAAGAACAAGCAGCAAAGGTAGATCAGTGAGCTTGGTGACGGCATTGTGTTAGGCATCTTTTGGGGCTAGAGTAGATAAAATTGGAATGAAGTCCTCTGTTGATGTTAACAGTGAGATTCACTCAGGAGAGCCTGCTTCAGATTTCATATTATTTATTGAAGTAGTGTTTGTCAAGTATTAGATTTCCAGAGGAATGACTACATTTTACATGTGAAAATTTTAGGAATATGGTGAAGCGGTCACATTTTACAATGATCTTTTTACTAGAAATGGGCACCATCAGGTAGAAACACAGAATCTTCTTTGCAGCAGAGCTAGGGCTGTTCACTGAAAAAAAAAGGAGAATAAAGGTGAGAGCTGGGCACAGTGCTTTGTGCTGCCTGCTGTTGAGCACTGATTATTGCCAGTTTTAAGATAAAATGAAGATGTTGGGAGGTGAATTGGGGCTGGTGACTGCACCAGGAATAACTGCAATCTCCAGAATAAGCCCTTGTGCTGCTTCGTTTTGGTTCCCTCTAAGGGTGTGATTTATATATACACCTATGCCAGGGTGAGCTCTGGATAGAATTCCGCAAGACCATGTCAGTTACAGAATTCTTCCTTCAGTTGCTTACCTGGAAAGTCATTCTACGTAATTCGAATGAACTCATTCCTAGAACAGCATTGTGTTTCTTTTCTACTTTGGAATCACAGGTGGAGAGACCTGCTGTCTCTCCCCAGCTGTTTGCATCTTGTGGCAGGTCAAGGAGCTGGGGAAAGGCTACGGTACTGCACAGGAGCTAGGGAGGGTGTGCCCTGAGTATGGCCTTGAACACCAGCTCCCAGGTGCCCATGTGCCTTGGTGCTGCATAGCAGTGGGTGGCTGGGAAGGGAGGGTATCTGTCAAATGACTCTGAAATCTCATTCACTGGACAAGGAAAAGTTTGAAAGAACTGCAGGGTACACGGGGCGTATTTAGGTCTGCTCCACAGCTGCATTTTGGCAGAATCTTTGGAAGACTGCCGTGTTCAAGCAATGTTTCTGTAGCTGACAGGAGGCCTCTCTGTGTTGGGCTTACATTACATAAAGATGGCAGACAGACCAGGGAGGCAGGAATATGCAGCAATACTCTGGTCTTTGCTTGTTCCCTTTTTTTTCTCTCCAGTTCCCTCTAAAAGTCCTTATTTCTAGGCAATTGGGTCAAGGAAATTAAAGGCTTATAAGATCAAAGCTATGGGTTTAGTTCTTACAGTGCACATGTTGCAGTGACTACTGACTGGGCAAGACCTACTGCCCACCACTTCCACTTCCCCTTTGCAATGTGAGCAGAGCTGAACCAGGAGGATGTAATGTGGCTGCTGCACCGCAGGCAGAGTTTATTTCCTCTTCTCAGGAAGCTCAAATCTATCAGTTAGGGAAACGCAACTGTGTATTGGCTTGCAGGAAGGAACAGTGGATCCCCAGCTAAGCTCTTTGAACGTGGAGGGCACTAGCATTCTTGGGGAAGAAAGGTACAGGTTAGAAATGCAGAACATCAAACAGACAGTGAAATGATGCAGGAAGGTTCTGCCAGGAGCTAAGAAGCAGAATCTGAAATGAGAGGTTCATGTAGATATTGTTGATAAACAGTATGGGATAGTTTTTCCCCAGGAAGACAGGGGGACATCTGGAGATTGGAATTTAGGGGCTTGGGGCAAACCAGGGTGCAGGAAATCCATGTATGCATGAAGGATAGGAATATGGACAGGGAAGGTCCAAACTATTACAGAAGCAGGGAGCCTATTTCAGAACATTTGAGGATCAAATCTTAAATGACAGCTGCGGGTGTGCATGGAGTTCCTTTGCACTCTATATGCAAGGTTTGCAATGGGACATTTCTCTACTTGGAGAGGAAGAAGGAGGCAGTCGACAACTGCTTGCACACTTCCCTACTATGCTTTAATATAAAGTCAGTCACAGTTTATCTGTAAGATGAGACTTTTCATACCTGAGGTCTAAGGTTTTAGATACCTGAAAAATAGATAACTTCCTCATAAAATTTTGTGATAGAAAACATCTAGCCTTTCAGAATAAATTATTACTTTCTTGTGCAAATGAAAATTGTGTAGCAGTCTCAGCCTTCCTGTGGTTTAACAGGTGGTGTATATGGCAACTCTTTTATATAAACCAATTATAAATTTATGGTCCTTGCAAAGACATTGATGTGGCTTATAGATCTTTCTCAAAATTCTTATGAAATAGAGGATAGATGCAGTATTTTTTAACTGCATAATGGAAAACTATAGCTTGCTTAAGTTATAATGGTAATTGGAAATGTTCCAAATTATTAAGATTATGCTA